GAGAGAGAGAGAGAGAGAGAGAGAGAGATATCCTGCCATGGCTCGGATTGGTGGTGGGCAAGAGGATCTGGGGTCAGGGGATCTCCTGCCCCCACCCTGGACTTCCAATTCAATCCAGTGTTATTATATTATGGTCCATGGCCAGATCCAGTTAACGAAAACAAACATTGTTCAGGTGTACAAATATACAAGTTAAAGACTCCAGTTAAGAGATAGAAATAGAAAATTTAATATAAAACTGAATAAAATTATATCAAAGAGAGGAAAAATAGATTATAAAATACATAACAAAGCATCATAGGTGACCATTTTTAAAATTTAAACCAAGGAATTTAAGAGGAACAAGAGCTGTATAATAGACCTCCTGGAGGAAACTAAGCCGACTCAAAGGGGCAGGACTGAAATTTACTGCATAATTTAATCGCCTGAGCGCAAAATCCAGCAGTTAGCTTAGTAATAACTGAAATTCGTCTGCCAATAGTTTATCTAAACATGTCTTGTCCACCCCTACCGCAGGTCCGTCTACAAGGGGAAAAACTGTTTCATCTTGAATTTGTTTATACAGGGGGCAATGGAGAAAAAAAATGTCCCATTGTCTCCACCTCAGCTAGGGGGCAAGGGCAAATCCACTCTGCGTATGTCATCTTCTTATATCTTCCTTCCAAGATCATGGATGTCATGGCATTAAATCTGGCCAGAGTAAAAGCCCTCCTGTAAGGGGGAATGTCATGGCTCAGGTGGGGTGTCACCTGACGCTGCCACCACTCTGGTTTTAGGATCCCTTGAGAAGGCTCAGAGCACCCTCCCAAGACCTTCAGACCTCCCTTGTTTGGCCGAAATAAGCGTGAGGAACAGGCAGAGTAAACAACAAGTAAAAGGTTTATTTTTACAGGAGGTCAGTCCAATATGGGAAACAAACAAAGTGCAATCCCCCCGCTTTCGAGCCCCGATTTCCGCTCCCGCGGAATCGGGGCCCGGGGGAAACCCCACCCCCGCGTGTGCATCACCTGGAAGTGACATCACACGCTGGGGGCGGGGCCACGCCATTTGAGGGGAAAACTCTTCGTTTTCCCCTCAAATGGTGTGGCCCCACCCCCAGCGTGTGACGTCACTTCCGGGTGACGCACACGCGGTGCGCGTGCGCGCTACGCGCACGGAGAAGACGCTGTACGGGAGCCCCCCGCTCCCGGACCATTTGGATTTGGCAACCCTAGCCCTCTTGGAAGAAAGAACAACTCTTTTTCTGTACCAACTCTTTTATTATAAGTCCCCTTGCTCTGTGATTGGCTAAAATTGGCATCAAAACCTCTCAGCGACTTCTGGGAGTTGTAGGCCAGGCCTCCTCCCACTGCTACTCAGGCTCCCTGGGCCTACTAGGCCTCTGGTTGCACAGCCCAGATCATGACAGAGGAAATCTAGAGTTTAAGAAATTTTGTCATTGGACTTGGTAACCCTGTAGTCATTATACTTTCCCTAAGCCCAGTTCACGTTGCTGTTAACCCAAGGCGATTCTGCCCAATGCATCTCACGCACCAGATCTATCATTGCGTTCTCCTATTCACTATATATCCTCCTGATTCTGCTTACCGTTCGAACGCTGCATCAGGGTGTGTTATTTTGATCAGAGTAATATCAAAACATTGGCCCAAAACATGCAACCATCATGAAAACATCAACTTGCATTGCTTCCAACCAGGGCTTTTTTTTTTGTAGAAAAAGACCAGCAGGAACTCATTAGCATAATAGGCCACACCCCCGACAGCACAGCTCATTAGCGTATTAGGCCATACCCCCATGTTACCAGAAGTGTGGCCATCCAGCCACACCCACCTTTTGCTTCTTATTCTGTTTACCTTGTTTGTTGTCAAAACCCAGGGCTTTTTTTCTAGCAGGAACTCCTTTGCATGTTAAGCCACACACCCCTAATGTAGCCAATCCTAATGAGTTTCTGCTGTTGGGTGTGGCCTATGCTGGTGCAGCAATTAGGTACCACAGTTTTAATCCCTGACTCCAGGACAGATCTTTGCATCTTCTTTCTGAGGACTGGCAGTCTTTAAGCAGCGGCTGGACAAGCACTTGTCACGGATGCTCTAGGCTCATCCTGCATTGACCAGAGGGTGGGACTAGTTGGCCTGTATGGCCCCTTCCAACTCTGTGATTCTATGATTCTAAAGGTGAAGGTTTCCCTTGCTCGAAAGCTAGTTGAATCCAACTCTAGTGGGTGGTGCTCATCTCTGTATCCAAGCCGAAGAGCCGGCGCTGTCCGAAGACTTCTCTGTGGTCATGTGGCCAGCATGACTAAATGTCAAGGCGTATGGAATGCTGTTACCTTCCCACCGAAGCGGTACCTATTTATCTACTTGCAATTTCTTGCTTTCGAACTGCTAGGTTGGCAGGAGCTGGGGCCAGAGACGGGAGCTCACTCTGTCACGCAGCACACTCGGGTCTCGAACCACCGAACTACAGACCTGCCAGTCTGCAGCTCAACATCTTAACCTCTGAGCCACCGCGGCCCTACGATTCTATGGCCTATTAAAAAGTGTGTGGCTGTGAATAACCCCAATATCCTGTATTAGGGTCTCTTCCTCTAGGCTATCATACTGGTGTGCAGACTTCAAGAGTTCACACATAACTTTCTGTCACTGCTGTCCTTCTTCCCCCGCCCCCGCCCCCCATAAATGTACACAAAATATATATTTTTTAAATAATTGCTTTGTGACACAGGATGCAACACTCTCCTTTTTTCAGTATAACTGTTTGAATGCCCCCTTAGAAACTCCAGTAATGCTGTTTTAACACCAGACAACAACACTTACCGAGAATTTCCCTCTGCTGAAGTGACAAAAACCGTTACCACCAGAGAGTCCACTGGCAACTGGAGGGCTCGTTGAAGTTCACCGACCTGCTGGGCATGGACAAGAATATCGGCCAAGCTGTTTAATCTCTTGCTTGAAAACGAGGAAACAAGACTGTCGCTCGGAAGGGATGGCGGATCACTGATCTCCAGGATTAGTACTCTTAAACCAGTCCCCGGAAGGGACCGCTGGGAACTCCCCATCAAACCGACTAGATTTCTCTGTTGGCCAGCCCTTTGACGGGGGACCATGCAAGACTGCATCGTGGAGCACTGGTGTTTGCGCTTAGCGGCACTGTCCGCCATAACCTTTAACGTGTTCTCACTTCCTGGCGAGTCGTGGACGGTTCTGATTTGGCTGTGCCCAATCTGTAAAAAACCAGCCAGACGCTCAGTCGCCATTTTCCGACTCTCTGCTCCGATGGTCTCCGCCACAGTGAAAGCGATATGAAGGGAGCTCTGAGTGTATATCTCGACGGGGTCTTCCTGAGAAACGGCAACATATAGAAGGTTCTCCGGAAAGCTAAAGTAATTGGTTCCTGTTACGGCGTTTGCTGAGGAAGGGACGGACGATGAACGGGCTGGTGAGATATACTTCCCTTTGGCAAAGACGCGAAAGCTTCGCGGTTCGTCATAGAAGATCGCTAAGAGAATCCTGGTGGAGTTGTGACCGCTGTTAACATACAGTTTTAATGAGCGAGCCACTGCGCTGGCAAAACAAATTTTGGAGAGCTTGTTGGATGGTAATATAGAGTAAAATACCGACGAGTGTTTTGAGGCATGGGGAGAAGATGAGACGGCATCATTGAAGATATCCACAAAGGTGCCGGTCACCAATACCGGGGGAGGAGACTTCCTGTGGCCAGCGTTGGTACGTATACTTTCCAAAATCACCATTGCATGGCTGGTTTCCCTACAGAAATATCCATTCGCTGAAGCTTTGTAGACGCATTTTCTGTCTTCTCTATAAATGCCTGTTAAATAAATAATACACCATCAGCACTGATTTACCAGTTCTTATACCTGCTTGTAATACTTGACTTCTTACTTGTAATACCTGACATTTCTCTTAACAACAACAGTCAATGAAGAAGTAAAGAATTGCATAAGAATTTCAGCTTTCATCAAAAGTCTGCAGTTAGGGATCCCTGGCAGTTATTAAAAGCCTCTTTTGGTAAAAAATAATAATAATAAAACCAGCCCAGATGACAGCGGGAAAATGAATACATGGAAAAGGGACATTTTTAAACGTTGAATTTTCCGCTGATTTCAAAATTGTCATCGCATCAGAAATGGAACAAAGAATACAGATCATTACAACAATATTATTATAATACCCATGTATGACATTCTTGGCCTGCCTCTTTAGTATGTAGTGGTTAAGAGCATGGACTCTAATCTGGGAGAACCAGGTTTGATTCCCCACTCCTCCACAGGCAGCTGCTGGTGTGACCTTGGGTCAGTCACAAGTTATTTCAGAGCTGTTCTCTCAAGGGCAGTTCTCGAGAGAGCTCTCTCAGCCCCACCTCCCTCAAAGGCAGTGTTCCCACTAAGCTGAGATAGTGTGAGCTAGCTCACAGTTTTTTAGCCTCCATCTTAAAAAAAAGTTTCTTAGCTCAGGAAGGATGGCTCCAGAGCCAGTAGCTCACAAAGTAGAATTTTTGCTCACAGGACTCCACAGCTTAGAGGGAGCATTGCTCACAGGGTGTCTCTTGTGGGGAGGGGAAGGGAAAGGAGATTGTAAGCCGCTCTGAGACTCCATCGGGTAGTGAAGGGCGGGGTATAAATCCAATCGCTTCTCTTCTCTTCTTCTCCAAAAAGAAACCACCTTTCCAAAAACCAGTCCCGTTTCAAGTATTCCAATAATGCACATTTCCAACCTAAAGTAATGCACATTTCTAACCTTCCAGTAATGCACATTTCCAACCTAAACAGCCATGCCATCTCTTAAGAGTCTTCCCTGATAACGTTCCAAAAGTAATTAATCTTTGGACAGATGCGCAAAGTTATTTAAAAGTTTTATTTGACATTTGCACAAGCCACAGGTTTTGTGAGGTTGTTCCAAACTTAATTTTAGGATCTCCAAGAAGGATAACCACCAAGCACTTCATCCCATTTCTTCTGGAAAACGATTTCTCAGAAATGCTAGTTTCAAAGGGTAGCCGAGTCAGTCTGCAGCAAAACAGCTAGATTCAAAGTCCAGTAGCACCTTAGGGACAAAGAAGATTTTGAGGGTAAGAGCTTTTAATAGTCAATGCTCCTGTCGTCAGATATCCGAAAGTTGACTCTCAAAAACTGGCACACTGACAATCTTATTGGTCTGTTAAGATGCTAGTGGCCTCTAATCTAACTGTTCAAAAACACTAGTTTCCTAATAAGCAGATAAGAAGAACTTCCTGAGAGTTAAGAGTGGAACTTCAGTGGAACAGGATTCTGCCGTAGGTGGTGGGCTCTCCTTCTTTGGAGGTTTTTAGGTGGAGGCTAGATGGCCATCTGACAGCAATGCCGATTCTGTGAACTCAGGCAGATCCTGAGAGGGATGGCAGGAAGGGTTGCCTCAGTGCCTAGTTCTTGTGGCTCTTTCTTACACGCCCAAGGAAATGCTGGTTGCCACTTTGGGGCCAGGAAGCAATTTTTCTCCTGGACAGTTTGGCTAGGGATCCTGGAGGGATTTTTTGTTTTTGTCATCTTCTGGGCATGGAACAGGAGTCACTGGGGGAGGTATCTGTGAATTCCCTGCATTGTGCAGGGGGTTGGACTACATGACCCTGGAGATCCCATCCAGCTCTATGATTCTGTGAAGAATGTATTATGGTGGGGGCACAAAGACAATATAAAACACTGGTGAATCATGACATACAAGAACATAAGAGAAGCCATACTGGATCAGGCCAATGGCCCATCCAGTCCAACACTCTGTCAAAACCAGGTGCCATCACCTGGATGTCCAACAGCAGAGACATAACTCCAGGAGCCCTCCCACTGTGGCCCCCCCAAGCACCAAGAGTACAGAGCATCACTGCCCCAGACAGGCTGTTCCAGATCTTTACCTTGTGGCTAATAGCCACTGATGGACCTCTGATCCATATGTTTATCCAACCCCATAAGTTTATTCAAGGTAATAGGTGATGTGAAAGACCTCCCCAATTTCATTTCTAAAGTGAACATGCATCAGCTCTTTCTGACAAACAGAACTACAACACAAGTACATGGAGGGTGGGTGTGCATTTACCGTAACGTGAACAGGGCTACTGAGTGTCTCCCCAAAAGTCTGGGGGTTAAAGGAGCCTTCAAAGAAGGGTAGGGTGATTCTTTTGAATTTGGTTGGTACCGAGTTGGAGGAAAAGCTGAAAATCAGGAGCCTGTTCTGAGGTGGCATGGTTAGAGACAAGGTTGCCAACCTCCAGGTAGGGCCTGAAGGACTCCTGGAGGAAGAAGAAGAAGAAGAAGAAGAAGAGGAGGAGGAGGAGGAGGAGGAGGAGGAGGAGATTGGATTTATACCCCACCCTTCACTCAGAGTCTCAGAGCGGCTTACAAACTCCTTCCCCTTCCCCTCCCTACAACAGACACCCGGTGAGGCAGGTGGGGCTGAGAGCTCTCTCCCGAGAACTGCCCTTTCATGGAAAGCTGTGACCAGAACTACGGCTTGCCCAAGGTCATCCAGCAGGTGCAAGTGGAGGCGTGGGGGAATCAAACCCGGTTCTGCCAGATTAGAGTCCGCGCACTTAACCACTACACCACAACTGATTCCCAGGCAACAGAGATCAGTTCCCATGCAGGATATGGTTGCTTTGGAAGGTAGAATCTAGGGCATTGTACCCCATTTAGGTCCCTCCCCTCCCCAGGCTCCACCCCCAATGGGTAGGGCTGCCAGCTCTGTGTTGGGAAATACCTGGAGATTTCAGGGGTGGAGCCTGAGGAAGATAGGGTTTGGGGAGGGGCTTCAATGGGATACAGTGCCACAGAGTCCACCTTCCAAAGCAGCCATTTTCTCCAGGAGAACTGATCTCGGTCGTCTGGAGATCCACTGTAATAGCAGGAGATCTCCAGGTGCCACCTGGAGGCTGGCAACCCTTCCAGTGTTCCCTCTAAGCTGAGTCGGTGTGAGCCAGCTCACCGTTTTTTAGCCTCCGGCTCACACATTTTTGTCTCAGCTCAGGAAGGGAGGGCTCCAGAGCAAACTAATTTACGCAGTCGCCAAATCGCTCGCTCACCACTTTAATGCCAGTAGCTCACAGAGGAGATTTTTTTGCTCACAAGACTCCACCGCTTAGAGGGAGCATTGGACCCCAACCCCCCCCCCCCAAATCTCCAGGAACTTCCCAGCCCAGAGTTGGCTGATGGAGTTCCTCATTTGATCTAGTACAAACCACTGGTCCAAACCCTTTCCCCTCCTAATGACACCTCTCTCCTTCCTTTCTCCATTCCTGACCCTGTGTGTATTTATTTATTTTTGTCGCAACTGGGATTCCCGTTAGTGCGGTTTCCCCTCCTCTGGAAGCCTCTGGTCACGGGTGACTGTTGGGGCCGGTCCCTTGTGCTCCCTCTAAGAGCCAGTTCGGTGTAGTGGTTAAGTGTGCGGACTCTAATCTGGGGGAACCGGGTTTGATTCCCCACTCCTCCACTTGCAGCTGCTGGATGACCTTGGCCAAGCCATAGTTCTGTCAGAGCTGTTCTTGAAAAAGAGCCGTTTCTGTCAGAGCTCTCTCAGCCCCACCTACCTCACAGGGTGTCTGTTGTGGGGAGGGGAAGGGAAAGGAGTTTGTAAGCCGCTCTGAGACTCCTTTGGGTAGCGGCTATTAGCCACAAGGTATAGATAGGGACTCTGGGGCAAGTGATGCTCTGTCTTGTTGGTGCTTGGGGGGGGTCAACAGTGGGAGGGCTTCTAATATCTTGGCCCCACTGGTGGACCTCCTGATGGCACCTGGTATTTCTGGCCACTGTGTGATACAGAGTGTTGGGCTGGATGGGCCTTTGGCCTGATCCAACATTGGCGTCTCTTATGTTCTTAAGGGCGGGGTATAAATCCAATCTATTCTCTTCTTCTTCTTCTTCTTCTTCTTCTTCTTCTTCTTCTTCTTCTTCCCTTCCTCCTTCTGAAAGGCCTTCTCCCTCCCAGCCACCGTTTCAGCGGCTGGCCATTTTCGACCCCTCTTCTTCCCAAACAAAACCCATGCAGGTCTCGGTCATCAGAACGGTCGTTTACGATTTGCCACAAAACACGGTTTGTTCGGTTAGGGGCACATCCGAGAGGAAAAGAGGGAACTCCGTATGAACTTGCCGCTGAAGGCCTAATCTGATTATTTCCTCATGAAAATCCAAGCAGGGGTGCTTGTAAGCGGGGGCTGGGAGGGGAAGGGGGGGAGAAAAACAGAGAAAGGCCCGCTCACAGCCGACTCTCATCATCGACACAAATAGATAAGTGACAGGCCGTGTCAGGGCCAGGGGCTAATCTGCCTCACGGCTTCCCTCGCGGGAAAAGGCCACAGTGGACAGGCCTTAATAAATACTGATTGACCACTGAATATTGAGGTGACACAGGCCACTGACACGGGAGGCAAACAATAACAGCGAGGAATTCCGGAAGCCTCCCTTCTCGATGGCTAAAATTAAACAGCTAGTATTTATTTGTATACCTCCCCCTCCCCTTTCACACACATACACACACACACACACAAACAAAAGAGGGAAGTCGTGTACAGAGAAAACGGAATGTCCTCCATTCGTGTGGCAGAAAAAGCAAGAAAGGTTGCAAAAAAAATTATATGGCGGAGGGGGGGGACAGTATGCGCTATGTGTTTATGTATGTGTTTATGCGCTAAAAGGGGACACGACTTCAGTGCATACACACCCACATTCCTACCCCCAGCCACATAAAATTCTCTGTGGCCTTGCTTGTTTTTCTGCTGTGGTGCGTTTAATGTCAGCAGATGAGCTCACAGGTGTGCCACCCGGAAATCTAGTATATGTGTCG